AAGTGGAGGGAGCGCTCCGAACGTGGAAAGGATGCAATTCCGATTTGCAAATTGAAAAATATTACTAATTAAAACAAAAGTACTCAATCGAAATAGGTGACAAAATTAGATAAATAATGGCAAAGGTAGAACAATAGAGGATCTGTTAAAGGGTTCCCATTCGTAATCCATAGACATAAAACATCTTGGACCAGTTTCATATACCTACTGATAACGCTTATTTAGAATAACTCTTAGAAGTTTTTATACTAAGGAAACATCTTAGAATTTTTTTATTACTTAGAAACCCTACTCTGTACATAGAATAACTTTTGGAGGAATAACCTTTTAGGATCTTTTATCAGTACCACACACATGAGTGTTTCTTGTTTGAAACCACAATATGACATTCTATCTGTAGAATAACTCCAAAGGGTCTTCTTTCGTGAAAGATGTCCAGATAATATAGATAGAAAACCTCTTGAAACTCTCATAAAAAGTACTATAGGACGCCTGGAGTCAAGAAAATGCCTCCTACGGTAAGAGGAAAATATATGGACATCTTCCGTTTTCTAAAGGTTACATATACATTATATTATATACATGAAAAATCCCTATAAAGTCTCCTATATAGGAGGCTCTTATACATATAAGTCCTTTTCGATGTCTTCTATGCAGGTCTAATGGAGATATCCTTTTATTTGGCTTTGTGAATAGAAGAAATCATGAGCTCTTAGAGGTTTCCTGTAAAAAGAAGTTAAATAGATGTTGCAACATATTGACATCTATCTATATACAGACGAGCTCTTCAGTGATTCCTCAATATACTCCGATCCTTTTTAAGTACCCTATACATAAAAGAAATATTAGAGTTTTCAGATGCTACTTTTAAATATACGTAAAACGTATGTAGGAATCTGCTTTGAGCTCTTAGAGTATTCACAAAATAGAGTCCTCCTCGTGGAGGAAGTCCAAAATGTCATGATTTGAGATCTATAGGCTCACCCAAATGCAAATTTTACTAAATTTACTTTTTTAGTGCACAATAATATACAAATTTTATTTCCCAATGTTAGGATTCCTGGGGTACCGGTTCATCCTAACCCAAGTTTTACCAAATTTAGTACCATTTAGTACATATTTCCAAAACTTCCTACACACACTAACAGTGAACCTAACTCCAAATTTCAGGATCCCAGCTCTATCCGTTCACCCAAAATTCAAATTGTACCAAATATAGTACCAAAGGGTATGCATTTCCAAAACTACATCAATACCCTTATTCTACACTCATACAGTATCCTTATTTTCAAATTTCACGACTCCAGATCTATCGATTCATCGGATCACCCAAAATTTAAATGGTACCAAATTTATTATACTTTAGTATGAATTTATAAAACTTCTTCCATAGCTCAATTCTACCCCCCAACAATGATCCCAAATCGAAATTTGGAACCATATAGTACACATTAGTACAACTTTCCAAATTCAAATTGTACCAAATTTAGTACTCTTTAGTACATTTCGTATATATGAGTACATGCTTCCAAAACCACCTCCTTATAACAATCCTACTTCTCAACCTTAATACGCATTCCCTCATCCCAAACTTCAAGATTCTACGATTCTTAGTATTTTTTATTAACTTTCAAGTCCCAAACCACTGTTCCATTCAAACCAGTTAAACCTGAACGCGCTGTATTGTTATTTTGCAACTGTTCTTATGCCCCATAGCGGTCATAACATATTGCAGGCACATGCTAAAGAAAGGTAACCGGGCACATACCGGGTATATTTACAATGAATAATAGTAACATTCATGTATTCAGTCAGTAAGTATTTCGTTCATTCATTCTGTCATTTATCCACCCAGTCATTCTAATGCCGTGTACATGTCTGAATATTTTCTATAATCTTTGTTTGCCATTCATTCTTGAACATACGTCCATACAAATGCCTATGTTGCCGTGTTGCATGATATTTTCTACCAATCAACATATGCAACGGAATCAACATGCAACATGTACATTTGTTGGGGGATAAAATATTGATGGCATGCAGTCATGTTGTCGTCCACCTACCAACCCACAGCAAACCACTATACCACCAAACGCAACAACGATGAACAACACCAGAACAAATCTTGTCGACTGGACTTGTGCATTTTTAATTTATGGCAGTAGTTTAGCATTACTTTTTCAACTTTTCGGTTCCTGTTGGTTTATTTGTTGTTTTTTCTTTTTTCATTTTTTCTTTTACTCCCCTTTGCAAATTTTATGTTATTTTGAAGTTTTATGTACCTAAACCGCTATTTTTCTTCTACATGCATGTTTAAAAAAATATTTTGAATTTTTTATTCCACTAAAAATTAAATCCAGCCAGTGATGCCGATACAACAGATTACATGTTTATATGTAATTGAAGTTTGAAGCGTGCCGAAAATAATTCATTGAAAAGAACAGTTATATAACATAACTTAATTGCATTTAATTAACGGTTTGATAGTTAACTGGATAAGACAATATTAGAACGAGGTGGACCTCAAAAATGTATTATCTAAAATTAAAAAAAAATAATCGGAGAAGGTATCGTATATTTTTATATATACACACACCATCTCTTGAAATATCTCCAATATGAGGAAACCAAATTCATTCAAATCGAATATTTGTAAAAAGAGACTTGCATCCTAAACCCCCTAGCATTCTAATAACCAATCTCGGCATCAACACTTGATGTTAACACAAAATAGGAATGACAGGAGATAGTGCCACACACAGGAAAATAACTAAACTCAAATATGCAAGGACCCAACCAATGCACAAAATTCAAGAAGACGTTGTTTCTAGGCAACGATAGATGGCAGCCCCACCATCCAACCTAACAGGCTACAATCAGGCCAATCATTTTCATACCTAAAATACTAATCAAGTATGTAAGCTTTGTGGAAGCCCAAGATAAGCAGTTGTGCAGTTTATAGTGTACCTGACTACAGTCTCAGGCGTACTGAGGAAAACAATTTTTTCTGATCGAATATTTGTAAAAATAACATTACATCCTCTTTTTACAAATATTCGATTATCAATCATCTTCTTAGCTGACACCAGATGAAATGCCTCTTTCTGACATCCTACCCAACATACCATTCAGTAATCAAATCTCAATACCACTTGAGAACAAGCTTATAATAATAGTTGTTCTTAAGCTTTTTTTAGTAATATTAAAAAAATGTTGTTAAAATTTGAATTCACAAACAGTTTTCAACTATGCTTGATAAACTATTGTTGTACACAAATGTTTCTCAAGAGTTGAGTAAGCTTATATACACACTAGTTAAGATAAAATTACATTTGTAAGCTTATTCTACAATTGCAAGAATAAGCTTTTAGTAATATTACACAAGTAATTGTATCATAAGGGTTCCGTTTTGATTTTTCTACAATTATTAATAATCATTTCTCAAGATTTTCTCAAGACATTTTCAAGCTTAATGCTTGTGTTGGTAAGCTTAATATAATATTATTCTCAATACTTTTGGTTTGTTGGGTAATAACAAACTTCGCCATTAACATCATCACACCAGGATAACACAAAATTGAAACAAAACTAAAATAAGCAATGACGCCAACCACTTTTAAAGAGGTGTTGTTTCTAGGCAACAATAGATGGCAGCCGCATTCATTAGCTGGAATGAATAAATGATTAACTAAACTAATCGAATAAGACGACGATACTTTGTGGAAGCCCAACAGGAGTAACAGCAGAAAAAATGGAAATGTGTGGAGTAGTGCAGTGGATAGTGAACCTGATAACTATCCGATGCGTACAGAGGAAAACAAATTCATTCAAATCGAATATTTGTAAAACGGAGACTTAAATGCTCCCGAAACTCTCTAACATTCTAATAACAATTTTCGCCATCACATTAGGACAAAACAAACTAGAAATGGCGGGAGATATCAATAAGAGAAAAAATGTCAACGCTGAAGTAAGTAATTACCCCACTACTTTTAAAGATACGTTGTTTCCAGACACCAATGATAGGCTACAACAGGCCAATCATCTACTTACCTAAAATAAATTAATGATTAATAAAACTAATCGAATATCGATGCTCTATGGAAGCCCAAGAGGAATAACAGGAGAAAAAAATGGAAATGGCTAAAGTAATGCAGAGATTGGTGTGCATGACCACAATCCGAGGCACACCGAGGAAAACAAATTCTTTAAAATCGGAAATGTGTGAAAAGAGGATTTTATAGTTGAACAGATGAAATGCTTCCGACACTCTCCGATGAAGGAGGATAACAATTGAAATTGTTGAGCTAGTGTAGTGGAAACAAAATTCTTTGAAATCGATTTTTTCAGAGGCTTACACTCTTCTCCAAATGAACTGTTTTCGAAATCCTTTGACATGCTAATAACCAACCTAGGCATCAACATGATTGTAACACAAATTGGGAATGACAAGAGATATCACCACCCATTGGAATAAGAATGCGCTACAATAAGCAAGGACTCCAACCACTGCAAAACTTCAAGAAGACGTTGTTGCTAGGCAACAATAGATGGTGGTTCCCAAAATATATTCCTCCATAATTTTGTTTTATGTGTAGAATACCTCTAGAAAGTCTCAAAAAAGATAAGAACTTATGTTGCGCTATTATAACGATAACTCTTCAAATGTGTTATATCTACATAAGACCTATTTTTAACGTAGATCTCTTCCAGATGTTTTTTATTTGTAGAAGACCTGCTCTCTATGTGTAAATTACTTCGTATGTAAGACACTCATCGTTTATTACAGAATAACCCATCGTTTATTACTGACTATTTCTTTATGTTCTCTGGAATATTTTGGGTCTATATAAACCTAATGGAAGATCTTTGGCCATCAAAAAAAGAGATCACCCCCTTTTGTACACAATGTCTAGAATATATGCATTTCTTACATACATACTACCTTTAAAAATTGTTTATTAATCATTAATTTTCATTTCATTTAAATTTATTTACAGGGTGCTGGCAAAGAAATACGTGAAGCCATTGCCGATCCCACACCACAGTGCCAAGAAAAAGCCTGGGCTGCTGTACTGCCGTTAGTATTGAAATTAAAACGTTGTTACGAACATTCGCTAGAATTGGAGAAAATCGTACCAAAGCTATTGGGTCAACTGGTGGGCGGTAAACTAAATCCTACACAGCATTTGGAAACACAACAGGCTCTGGTCAAACAGCTGGCAGAAATTTTAGAATTTGTTTTAAAATTCGATGAACACAAGGTGAGTTTTGTTTTTCCTATTTTTTTAATAAATTTGCACACAAAACAATTAACAACAGGTTTCAACTAGTAATTTTTATTATTGTAATTTTTTAATGGATATTAAGATGGGTAAAATTAATAACAACCTCGGAAACGAGGTATTGATGGGAGTGGTTCTTAATAATAATACAATATTTACATCTAATGGGTTTTATTACAAAACAATTTAATGTATATAACATAGGTTTTTTGTAGTGCCCCACGTTGGGCGCCATATTTTAATTTCATAAATATAAAAAAAATCTCTTTAAATAATTTTTTAAACTCATAGATATAATTTTTTAGCAATTTTTGTTAAATTAGGTTTTGTATAATTTCTGGTTTTCAATTCGTTGATTATTTGTTGTTTCTTCTGTGACCTGATGTTAAAGTTGCCTGCCACTGCAATTAATTCATTGACTGTGTGTGTAGGCATCACCACCAAACCATCAACTTTAATAATGTTTGCGTGTTTGAAAGTTTTTATTTTTTGTTGTTTCTGGTTACTAGCCTGGGAGGTTTCATTAATTTTTGAATAGTGGTGGGCAGTCGTTGCCGCAGATTATTGTGTGGTTGCATGTCACTTCATTTTGGATTTGAACTTTATGGAAATTGATTTTATGATAATATTGCCTGTAAATAATAAAAGAAGTACCGAGCCCTGTGTCAATACGAACCAAAGGCAATTTTTTTTGCCAACATTTTATAATACCATGAATAAGGAATTTAGAAATTTCACGTGAAAAAAGTAGGGAAGGGCTCCTCAAAATTCAAAATATTTTAACAGAATTACGTGCTATATAAATAAAATTTCCTCGCGTCGATTATAATATTAATTTTATTAATTATAAAGTAAATAGAAAAAACGGACATATGTTTTTCGACTATGTATTATACCTGTATAAAATGTAATAAATGTAGAAAACGTCATTTATTCGAATATTATTACCATATACCGTTATTTTCACTGTTTTTGACGGACCATCTCTGAAAACGGACATATGTGACTATGTTGTATGTATGTAACTTGGGGTTAACTTTTTGTTGGGGGTATTTTTTTTTTCAAAAATTTATCAACTTTTATCGCTGTGGTAATCGAACAAATATTTTATTACTGTTTTAAAAAACCACAGAAAAGTTTTTTTAATAGCAATAATAATTCATTTGAATCGGATTTTTATTTTCATACTGCATAAAATGTTGACACACATTTGCAAAACCTATTCTGAAACTAATGAGGTCATAAGGGACTTAAATAAAAATATACATTATATTTGGGTTGTTCCGAAACAAACTATACCGCAATTGATACGATTGATACTAGCTTTGATTTTTTCGTTGATCTAGTTTTGTTCATTTTTAGAAAGGAAAAGATAGAAGAAACATCTTGGGATTGGTATCCCTATACTTGTAAGTATCCGTTACTCTTTTCCATACACACTTCACTTGACATGGACCAAATGACCTCATTTTCAATGTTAGAAATTGTATTGATTAAAAAAATATTTGAGAAAATTTATTGACAATATTTGGAATTTCGATGTCAGTGAAAGACCAAATCCACTCAATTTAGCAAAGTCACGTATAACATATTATTTTTCAATATAACAGATTATTTTTCAGTATAACAGATTTTAAAATCGTTTTTATAACAATTCAATGACCCATTATGCAATAAATGTAAATAATACAAGCAAAAAGTAAGTTCATTCCAAGAGCTATTCAAAACCATAATGGATTTTTAAAAAAAAAATGATATTAGTAAAATTTGAAAGTAAAAATGGCACACCAATATGGATGCAGGCATTGGAAAGCCAAGGTGTACTTTCAGAAAATGCATATTTAATAAAAATTAATTTCGGATTTTTTTTTTTTTAATTTTTTTTTAAATTGAATTGTTTTTAGGGATGAAAATTCAATGACCCACTGTGCAATAAATATATATAATACAGGTAACTCTCGGAAAGGTCATTCCAAGAGCTATTCAAAACTGCTTTGCTAACTTGTGTGGATTGAGTCCTTGTTAGTTAAAAGCGATTTTATCTCCACGTACATGAAATTTTAGCAGCCTACGTCATGTAGTTCGGCAGTTAAAAAGTTTTTTTTTCCCAATATTTGACAAAATACTCAAAATGAGCGCTAACTGAAAACCTACCTGCGTCGAAATTTTTGCAAGTATAATTATTACGCATTATGTGTCAATTTCCAGCCAGTTTGATTGAAAAATTTCCAGCCACACATTAATTTCCAAAACACATTAAATTGGGAGGTACGGTTATCTGGGGTATATATCAAACCATGAGCCCAGATACTCCATTTTCCATGTCAGTAGTTATTTTCATATAAAGATTTTAAGAGCCAAATTTTGACAGCCTACGTCAAGTGTTCGGCATTTAAATAGTTTATATCCAATATCTGGGTAAATACTTGGATATTCAATATAGTAATTACCCACAAATGTTTTACATATCATAAAACTATACCTTGTCTACACCTTTTCACATTTTGAATGACATATCAAATCTAATTGGAGCATTCCATTTGTAATTCACAACATATAATTTACAATTCGACAATTCCATTTGCAATTCATATCAGTTATAATTCGAGAATTTCATTTGTAATTCAAGGAATACCTTTCGAAATTCATAGAATTCCATTTGAAATCCATATACTACCATTTGAAATTCAAAGGACTGTATTTGAAATTTCTAAAATTCCATTTGAAAATAATAAAACTCTATTAGAAATTCAAAGAATTCCATTTGAAATCCATAACATTTCATTTGAAATACATAACATTTTATTTGTTTTTCCAAAATACTTCATTTGTTATTCAAAACATTTCAGTTGTTATTCAAAACATTTCATTTTACAACAGAACAATTATGAATTACAAGTGAAATGTTATGAATTTCAAATTGAATTCTTTGAAATGTAAATAAATTTCTTTTATATTCAAATTATACTCTACGAATTTCAAATGGAAATTTACGATTTACAAATAAATTTCTTTGAATTTCAAATTGGTATTTTTGAATTTCATATGAAAAGTATAAAATTACAAATGAAATGTTATAAATTCCAAATTTAGTTTTCGAATTACAAATGAAATTCTCTCTATACTGTAACAGCCAATTATGTGCAATTTTGGTTTCGTAGATTCCGTTCAAGCCGATCGTCGATATGTCGATAAAATCGTAGAAATGGTCGAGAAATTCCTTTAAAATGGCCACAAATCATACAAGAAAACGGTGCATATTTCGCCCAAATCGGACATTCCGAAGCATGTTAAATAAAGTCCTATATTTCATATAAAAATAATGGATTTATTTTTCGCCAACCAAATATTAATTCCCTCTCAGCAGCATTGCTAATTTGTCATATATCCATAAAACAGCATGCATTAAAAATAAACAACAACAAAAACAATACAATGCAAAATATTTGAATTTTTAATTATGGAATGATGTGATGCCCATGATTTAATGACTAACAGATGAGCTGATATTGAAATAGTCGGTTAATAGATGGACATGTGAATAAGTCCAGTGACAACAATTGAATGTGTATTTGAGAGAGTATGAGAAATATAATTTCAGTTTATTTTAAAAGTTAATTTTTTCATATTTTCTGTTGAGAAAACTTCAAGCTCATGTAAATTTCTTCTCAAATTCTGATCCATTATATTCTTATTTATTTAAAATACTTCAGTTGCAGTTTGAAGTGAAATTAAAACAAATCCTGGATAAGTAGAACTTATGTTGCAGTCAGGAAAGTGGAAAACGTGCCTTCTTAAATAAAAGTGCACAACTTATGTAATAGTTGTTGTTGTTTTTTCTCTTTTCTTCTTCTCGTCTTTGTGCAACGAAGTGTCATCGAACAGAAAAGCCATTGAAGACAATTCTTCGAATACAAACGACAATAAGTGGGGTGGTGGTCACAAGACATCGACACGTATCTATATCACCCATATATGCATCCACTTAATACTTTCGTTTCCTTACATCTTGTTTGCATTATTTCGTTACGTGTGAAACAAATACGGTATAGAATTAGACATATTCGTTTTTTTGCACAGTGGTTTCAAATAAGCTAAAACGCATAAAAGGATCAAAGAATTTAGTAGATGATAGCGGGTGGAGTTGAACCTAGTATAAAGGTCCAAAAAATGTGGAAGATATTCGGGCATAGTCCGAACTGAGTAGGGGAAGCTTATTAGGGGTCCAAACACCAAAGAAATAGCCCAGAAGAGGCTAGGCCAGTATAGGTGCAATTATTTACAAGTGCAACCTGTAAAGAAGAAGTTCGTTAAAGGTCAGACCAGTTCAGAGGTCCAAAATGTATAGTAAAAAGTCATAAGGAGGAATTATGAAACGTCCACCTTGTTTAGGAGAAAGGCAAACTATTTACGTCCACATTAGAGAACTGTCCTGTACAGGAGAAGCTCGCACCAACTGAGGAGTGTGTAAGACATCTGATCTCTCTATAGAAGAACCTCAAAAGACATCGGACTGATATAATAGAAGCTAGTAAAACTCCAGCCGGTTATATTAGAAGTTAGAAGAGTTGCCTCCCGTAGAGGAGGAAATCGTTACAGTTGCGACCAGCGTAGGAGGAAAAGCTAACAATATATCCGACCTGAATAGGAGCTCATAAGTATTGCGGCTATAGATGCTCATAAGAGGTCCAAATAGTGTGGAAAAAGTCATTAAAAACCCGATAATGGAATGAATCTCGAAAATTTTCAGACAAATATAAAATTAGGAAAATCATAGGATATTCGACTAGAATAGAGTGGAGCTGGTAAGAGTTACGGAGGACGTCCTCAAATAACGAATGGTTAAATTTCTAGCTATTGTACGAAAATCTTATCAGAGATTAGCCATGAAAAACTATATATCTCATAAAGCTATTATAAATCTGTCCTAGATAGAAGGAGTTTGTAAAGATTCGATCTCTTTAATAATAGGTATACAT